GAGAGAGAGAGCGCGCGCGAGAGAGCGAGCACGAACTAAAGCAGGGAGGTGTGAAGGGAAGTAAATTGTGGGTCACACGGTATTTGCCAGAGAGTGACTAAAGATGAGAATTCTGGCTTCAGATCCCAAAGGGTCTCAAATGCCATGCTGAGGATTCACCCCTACAGGGAGTGACTGAAAACTTGTAAACAAGGCACAGTGACAAAAATGACAGGGCTATGGGCCACCACTTGGGGGCAGGAACTGATGGAAGGATCAAAAAAAGGACCAAAAGTTCTACCTGGATGACTGATCATTGAAAATTGCTTAAATAATATATCCACAGCCCGCTACCCCTTACACTTGCAGAAAAGCCAATTTCCACAATCATTCCTTGCTACACACATACAACAGCTCTGTGAAACCTAGGGGGCCAAGTGGTGCTGTCTTCATTACAGATGGACAAAGCCAGAGCCAGAGAAGGAAAGGGACCTTGCCACGGTCACACAGGCAATGAGGGGGCTAGTCACAACCTGAAGCCAGTGCCCTGGCCCAGAGTGCTGGGGAGGCAGGCCTTTGGCCACTTGACAAATGTGCTCAGCACCTTCTAGGGCCAGACCCTGCAGACATGGAGATGACCTTTGACCTCTGAGCCATCTTGAGACTGGACTGGTCACCTGGGCCTCAGACCAGCTGCCTCTTGCAAGAGTGGGAGAAGCAGGACCCACTGAGGGGTGCGGCTTCTGTGGTCAGACAGGTCAGCAGGGGCTCACCCCCAGGACAGGCCTATCTATGAGTCCTCCAAACTGGACCCTGGGCTGGGGGCTGGAAGAGGGCCAATCCCTCTGTAAAGGGAAAGGGGCAGAGGGAGTGGCCCTTTGCTGCCTTTCTAAGAAGCCCCCAAATGCCCCCTCCTCCCAGCACCCAGGCCCCGCACAGCAGCAGCCTGAGTCATCATCCCGGTGGTTTGAATGGTAGCCGAGAAATCAGCCAGGGGGCTGCCTGGGGCTGACGGCCAAGGGTTGGAAAAACAAGGCCATTTTCTCTTAACTCCAGCCTTGGAATCTCAAGACAGGCTAGGGGGTGGGGAGCAGAGGGCAGGTAATGCAGAATGGGTGGGTGTCAACAACCAGATGGGGCTGGGGTGGGGGGCGACGAGGAGGGGGAGGTTCAGAATCTGAGCTGTTGGCTTTTGTTTTCAAATGACCTGTTTAATAATTACCTTTGCAATCAAAGGAGCCAGGGCCCAGAGAAGGTGAGGATTCCAACCCTCCATACCCCAGCAAGCAGCCAGAGAAGAAAGTAAACAAGATGCCACTGGCTCTCATTCCATCTCGCAAACAATGGCGGGACTGAGCTGCCCGCTCACACACACACATCGAAGTGAGATTTCCAGGGAAGAACTTTAACAGGCAGATAAGAGGCTCGGACTGAATTATTTCCCCACATCCCAGGAGCTCCCCTGAACTCAGCACCCAAGAGGTGTTAGCCTAGGGTTCCGGCATTTTAACATTAACCTTGACCTGTAATTTATTCATTCATTTTGCAGAGAAGGAGAACTACCTCCGCCTCAACGCCCGGAAAACCCAGCCAGCAACAACTTCATCCCTTTCAACAGTCACAATGGTGGACAAACAAGGGATTTAAGTTACAGCGGCTAGCTTGCACTCACACTCCACTGGGCTAGGGCTCCTTAAAAAAACACCACTCTAATCCAAGCACCCACTGGGGCTCACAAAAGTCAGAACCTGACCGGCAGTGGGAAAAATCCAACTTGGTTTTTTTTTTTTTTTCAACCCCCCAAGGCCTTCAACTATTTTTCCTCCTGCAGCATCCAAGCCCAGCCTCAAGGCAGAGCCATAAACACGCCTGCTCCTCCCCCTTCCACGGTTCGGCAACCGCCCCCCCCCCCCCCCCCCCCCCCCCACCCTCCCCGGACCCAGAGGAGAAAGAACCACAACGACCCTCACCCGCAGCCCCCTCCTCTGCCCTCACCCAGCCGCCCGCGCCGGCCGTAATCCTCGTAGGCACCTTGAGATAAACACCCACTAATGATTTTATGATTTTCTGCTCTGGGTAGCCGCGCTCAGCAGAATCCCTTCCCCCGCCCAGGCGACGGGGGCCGGCCCAACGGAGGGATTGGGGGATGGGGGGGCGTTAGTTTGTTTTTTACACTGCCGCGTCTCCACACCTGTTTTTCATTCATTCATTCGTTCGTTCATTCATTCATTAGCGGATTCGTCACAGCTGCCTCCCCGGCCCTCTGGATCTCGGGGAGAGGATGGGAGGGGGCTAGGGTGGGGGAGACAGCGGCAGGGGTGCATCTTCTAGGGAGGGTCGGGGGGGAAGGACCCCGTTGGAGGGCATTTTGGGTGGCTTTGTCAAACACAAGACGAGCGATGCGGCGGGGGCGGGGCGGGGGCGCTCCCCGGGGCTCGAAGTTGTTTTCCGAGCCGCGGCGGCGAGGACAGCCGCCCGGGTGCGCCTCTTTGTCTCTCCCCGGCCGGCGCCGCGTCCCCGCGCGCTCACCTGGTCTTGGAGGACAAGAAGGCAAGTTTGATCAGGCCGTAGGTGAAGAGCGGGATACTCTCCTTGGCGACGCTGGCAACTTGCAGCCGGTGCTCCAGTATGTGGAGTTCCATCGTCCGCCCGCGCTCCGCGGCAGCTCATCCGCGGGGGGCGAGCCGCGGCCCCCGCCCCCTGCACGCCCAGCCGGCACCAAGCGCCGCGGGCAGCCGGCCCGGTGACCGGGAGCTCGGCGCCGGGCGCGGGGCGGACAAAGGGGAGGCCCGCCAAGCCGCGAGGGGCCGCGGGCGGCGGGCGAGGGCGGCAGCGCTGGCGGAGCAGCAGCGCGCGGCGCCCGGCGCGGAGAGCAGCTGGTGTTCGCTGTAACAAACAACTTGCCACTCAAACGTCGACCCGCTGGGCATGCGCGGCCGCCGCGGGGCGTGCCGGGACTTGTAGTCGCGCGGCCCGGGCGCCGGCGGCCGCTGATGTCAGGGGCTGGGCGGCCGCCCTAGGGGCCCGCCCGATGCGCTGGGGGAAAATACTGGAGCGCGGGCCCCCACGGGCCCACGGGGAGGCGAAGGGCAGAAGCGGGGGCCTTTCGAGCCAGCCTGAGCCTGAGTGCAAGCTCTGTCCCTCAAGCTCAGGACTAGGCGCTTTTGGGCGCAAAGCGAGTCGCCCACAGAACTCGCGCGCTGGAGGAACCTGAGTCTGGGAGGGGAGAGATTTGGAGAAACCGGTAATTACAGTGCAGAGAAGCAAAACAGAGAGGGGTGCGGGGGACAGAGACGGGGCCTTGGGGGGTTTTCTGGAGGAGGGGACATCCAGGCTGGGTTCTGAGGGATGAACGGGACCTCGCTGAGGAGGGGGAGGGGCGCGCGGGCTTGGAGGCCAGCAGTCTTCCAGGCAGAAGGAACAGCGTGTCCAAAGGCACAGAAGCGTGAAAGCCCCCACGGTGCTGTGTTTGGCTTTGTTGGAGCGGAAAATGTGAGGGAGGAGAGGCAAGAGATAAGGCAGGAGCAGTCACCAGGAGTCCGGTCGAGAGGGTCATGTGTGCAGAGCTAATGAGGTGGCCGTTTATCCGGCGGGAGAGAGGGTGATGGGGACTGAGAATTAGGGAAAAGTCCGAAATACACCCGAAGGGCTTCCCACCCCGGGGCCGGTGTGCCCGTGGCTACGTCCCGCAACGGCTCCCCCTTAATGGCTGACTGGAATTTTGAAATTTTCTAGGTTAAAGTTACTGGTGCTCTGCTCCTTGGCAGAGTAATTTGGGGACGTGATGGGTCAGGTTTACCTGTTGGGCCCGTCTGGGAACTCTCTTGGAGGAAGATTCTGGTCATGCCCTCTCACATTCCTCTCTCAGCCCACCTCTGTGAAGTAGGGACACATCAGGCTACCTCATTTCCACAAAGGGGCTTGAAGCCCGCAATCTGGTGGCTCTTAAAAGTGTGTTGACCCCCTTCCCGGTTTACTTTCACTAAAGAATTTATCACCATCTAATAAAGAATATTCTTTTTTGTTTTGCTTGTCTGTCTCCCTCTTCTAGCATCTCAGCTCCACGAAGGCAGTGGTTTTTGTCTGTTCTCTGCTGTATTCCCAGTGCCTGAAATGTGGTTGGCAGGTGAGAGACATGCATTCAGTATTCATGGAATGCATAAATGCATACATCTATTCCTTTAGCATCTAGAGGCCTAGAAGGCCCAAAAAGAAATGCATTCAGGGGCCAGGCAAGTGCGAAGATGTGTGAAGCAGCTGGGTATCAGACAGGTGGAAATGGTACAGGAGAAGGGAGGCCAACCTGAAGGCATAAAATTTATTAAAACAAAACCCCCAAAACAAAAAACCAACAGGTGAAACCAAATAAACAAGGCTAAAGGCAGGATTTGGTCAGTTTTCTGACTTCTGCCTTAGATGGCCTAAGTCAGTAGTTTTTAATCTGCAAGCCATGACCCATGAGTGGGTGGTGAAATCAATTTAGCCGGGCATGACTAGGATTAAAAAATAAATTATATTGAATAGAAAATGACACAGAGCTTTGCACGTAGTATGGGTAGGTTACTATTATCTTTTCTGTGTTCCAGGAAACATTCGTTTTGGCCACACATGAACGTGTGGGCACGCAGGCGTGTGTGTGCGTCTCTGTGTGTGCATGCACTGGATCTTTATGCAAAGGTATTTCTTTTTGTGCGTCTTGGTCAAAAACATTTGAAAACACTGGGCTTTCTAGTTAATCAAGCCAGACTGTTGTAACGTTTGCAAATTTAGACCATGTTGGTTGGATTTATAGATTTGCTGTCACTGAGCTATATCTGATGCTTAAGATTTCTGTGACACTGACACCTGAAATGAATGTTGGGATGTTGAAGAAACTGACCTCTAGGTCGCCAAATCCAGAGGATGGTTTCAGGCTGGGGCTAGGGTGAGACATTAACTCTGAAGGTCATGCAAGTACTGGCGTGGCGTGTTCTCATGGAATTCACTCCTCTCTTGATTCCTTAGCACTGTACTCTTCTGGTCCTATCCTGGTTCTTCTGGTTTTCCCTCTTTGGTTTCTCCTCCGCCCAACCCTAAAGTGAGCAGAGGCCCACCTGGTGTTCCTTCCTATAGTGTATTTTTACAGCAATGGCTGCTAGTGAATCATGCCTCCCGGTAAGCCATCCCACACTGACTTTGGGTTTGGCCATGTGAATTTCTTTGGCCAGTGAAGTCTTATCTTGGTAGCACATGTACTTGGTAAGTCCTGTGCATTGAGACTCGCCCACTTGGATACTCCCTTGAGGCCACTATGCTGTAAAGAAGCCCAAGTGAAAGTTAACATGGAAAGAGAGGCCCAAGTGTTCCAGCTGTTCCAGTTGAGCCCTGTCCCCTGCCGACAGCTGGCATCAACCAGACATGTGAGTCTTGGACCTTCTAGCTCACTGTCCAGATGAATGCAGCCCCATGAATGAGCCAGGTGAAAGCAGAAGAGGAACTACCCAACCAACCTATAGAAGAATAATAAGTACAGCTGACCCTTGAACAACATGGGTTTAAGCTCCTCAGGTCCGCTTATATACCGTGTTTTTTGACAGTGGTTAATGCAGTGCTGTAAGATCCACGACTGGTTGCATCTGTGGTTGTGGAGCCGTGGATATGGAGCCACGTATATGAAGGGCCATCTATAAATTATAAGCAGATTTTCAACTGCAAGGAGGGTCATCATTCCTAATCCCCTCCTCGCTCAAGGGTCAACTGTAGTTGTCTTTAGCCGCTAAGATTTGGAATGGTTTGTTATGCAGAAATACCTAGCTGATACATTCCCTCAACCCTCATCTTCTCTCACTCCGTGGGTGGACTCAGACTCTGGCTTCTACTATTTTGAGGGCCCGCAAATTGACAGTTCTAGCTCAGAACATGTTCCGGAGGCCCTGATTCACATATCTAACTTCCTAGTCGTTGGTTACATCCGCCTAAATGTTTACAGGCTTGACCAGCCCAACCTGTTCACACCTTACCTCATCATCTAACCCGCCCCAGCCCTTTTCCTCTTCCTCCTGTAGTCTCTGTCTTGGTTGATGACATCATCGCCAATCCCTAAAGTTACCAGCCTGATATGGCATGTCATGATTTCCAAGATGGTCACAACAAGATTTTTTATTCTGCATGCTCTCCTGGCAACATGACATTGATCATCAACCCATTAGGAGGTGGCTCAATGTTCCTGCCTCTTGAATCTGAGCAGGCCTGTGACCACAGAGGAAACGACACCTGTGACTTCTGAAACTCGGTCATAGCTGCTGATCCTGTTTCCATCTGGTCCTCTTGGGGTACACACTCTCTGAACGCCTCTGTCATGCTGTGAGGAAGCATGGGCCACATGGACAGATCACAAGTGGAAATTTGTTTTGGTTTGTTAGGGCCGCGTAACAAAGCAACACAGACTGGGGAATTAAAAAACAGAAACTTATTGTCTCACAATTCCGGGAGCTAGAAGTTCAAGATCCAGGTGTTGGCAGGGTTGGTTCCTTCTGAAACCCCTCTCCTTGGCTTGTAGATGTCCACCTTCTCCCTGTGTCCTCACGTGGTCTTCCCTCTGTGTGTGTATCAGTGTCGTAACCTCCTCCTCTTATCAGGACACCAGTAATAATGATTAGCGCCCACCCTAATGACCTCATCTTATCTTAACTACCTCTTTAAAGACCCTATTGCCAAATACAGTCATATTCTGAGGCAGTGGGGGTTAGGACTTCAACATATGAATTTTGAGGAGTGGTGGGCACAGTTTGGCCCATAGCAGTATTCCAGCCAGCAGCCCCAGCTGAGGTTTCAGTTGACAGCCAGCATCACCAGACCTGGGAAGAAGCCTTCACCTGACACAAATGAGAGACCCTGAGCAAGAGCCACCCAGCTGAGCCCAATCAGCCTCTCATGAGCGATAATAATAAAATAAGTATTGTTGTTCTAAACCACTGCATTTAAATAGCAATAGATTATTGGAATATTCTAGAATCAACCTGGTTGGTGGTGGTGACGAGGGGCTGGGGGACAGGGGAGAGCTGACCTGGGAATTATCCTGGTCAGGATAATTGATACCTCTTGCTTCCCCGCTCTGCCATCTAATCAGTCACCAAGTCTTAATGATTTTGTTTACTGTACACCTCTGTAATCCAGCCTGTCTCTTCACCTTGACCATCATGTTCCCATGTCCTAGGTTGTTACAGTGGCCCCCTAATGTCCATTCCATCCTCCTGGTGTTGCCAAGGTAGCTGTTCTATGCTGTGGCCCTACCACCTGTAACTCTTTCAGCGACCATGGCTCTCTTAAGAAAACCAAGTTCGGATCCTCCATAGATGGTCTTAATGTGAAGGGAAGGAGGCTTCCTGGCTCCTAGACCCACCCTCTCCAATATGGTAGTCATTGGCCAAACATGGCTATTGAGCATTTGAAATGGAGCTAATGCCATGAGAAGCAGAAACTTTAATTTTACTTCATTTTAATTAATTTAAAATTAAAAACTGATACTCAATTCAGTTGTTGGAAAACATTCAAGTATGTTTGGAAAGAACTGCCAACTGTCCTGGTTTTCCTGGGACTGAGCTTTCAGGATGTGGAACTGGGAGTTTTAAAGGACTTGAGTAAACAGGGATGAGTTGGTGACACTACTTTGAAACAACTTGGTTGTGGAAATCTATGAAATCCAAATACAGATCAAGTGTTGTGGATGAGAATTAAGCATCTGAATGGAGATGTGCCGTAAATGTCAAATATATTCTGGCTTTCAAAGACTTGGTATGAAAAAAAAAAGTAAAATATCTCATTAAAAATTTCATATATTGATTACATGTTAAAACGATAGTATTTTGGATATTGGGTTAAATAGAATATATTATTAAAATTAATTCCATCTGTATCTTCTTTACTTTTTAAAATTTAAAGTCACGTATAGCTTGCATTATATTTTTATTAGGCAGCCGTGCTCTAGAGCAGTGGTTCTTAAACTGTGGCTGGTGTCAGAATCACAGGGGCACTTCGTAAAGATGCTGAGGCCCAGGCCCTGTCCTGCTTTGAGGAGCCTGAGTCTCTGTTCTTCATCAGGTCTCCAGGCCTCAATCACCCTGCTGTGGTGGGGTAGTGTGTGGGAATGTAGATGCCAGCAACCCCTTTCCTCTTAAGTCTGGGGTCTCTGGACCTAAGAAAACAATGCCCAAGAACCGGCAGGACTTCTCTCTCTGCCTGGCTAAGGCCTAGCATGGGTTTTACCAGCGTGGGCTGCTCAGATGGCATAGGAATGGAAAAAGAAGAGAGGGAGGAGACGGCCAGGAGAACTAAGGGGCATCTTTTTCTGGGGCTCTGATTCTTTCTGGATCCTTCCCTAGTCCCTAGGTAAGCTGACCTCAAATATCTTTCCCTGGGTTTGACAAACAACACTGAGGGCCGTGGGGCGTCACTGAAAGTTCTGAGCAGGGAGGAGCCCGATGAAATGGACATCCTGTTGGCCTATTCTGAGGGAGCCTCAGCCACCTCCCTTTCTCACACTTTTCCACAGGACTGCAGGAAGAAGCGATTCCTCAGATTCTTTGCTAGAGATGGCCCCTCCCACATGCTCACCTGCACTCCCACAGGAAAGGATTACTGGTCCCCAAAGTGCAGTGGGCTGAATTACTATACTATAAACTGTCACAGCTTAATCCCCATCAGCCATCATCCTGGTCTCGGGCAGAGGCCCTTCCTTGGTGCTCCCAGGCCTGCCCAGCCTTGCCAGGAGCCCCCAGAGACCAGGTCCCGGCTCTCTGCTGCAAATCCACACTTAGACACCAGGCGTCACTCAGCCCCACCAAGGGAGAGAGTGTGTGGTATGGGAAACCAATCAGCCAACCAACCAACCAACCAACACTGCATCCTAGCGAACCAGGCCTAGTCTGAATTTGGCCTCTATCCCATTCAGTGCTGTGCAAATTACATCTTTCTCTGCTTTGGTTTCCTCATCTGCAAAATGGGCACAATGGTGCCTCTCTCATAGGGCATTCATGTGTAGGCTCCAGTGCTGCTCCTGGCACTCAGTAGATGCTCAGTAATTATTTGTTGAATGAATTAATGAATCAATGTGTGGATGGGCAGCTCTTTGGCAGTCTGTCCTCAAGGGCAGGCCCCCTCCGTGGTTTCTATTCTACTCCTTCCTGGCTTGTGGCTCCCCGCAGTGAAGGAAGAAAGTAAGGAAATGGGTGTGTCTAGGGCTTCTCCTTGGTGCCTGCGTGTGCCTCATTGCATCTGATTCCCCGGAGAGGTAGGGATTCATATGCTCATTTTACACATGGGGAAACTGAAGCTGGGGGAAGGTCAGGAGGAGAGGACCTGAGGACACAGCTTTTCTTGGGTCTCCCAAGGGCCTGCACCAGGGCTGAGAACACAGTGCTACTAAAGGAAGGCCCACGGGTTGAGTCAATGCATGAACATCAGGCACCGTGATGACACTGGGGGAGCCCCATCCCCTTTCTTGTGACATCCTTGGGCAGGGCTAGGGCAGGACAAGAGGCACCAGAGTCTGTCTTCTCTCTCTCTCTGTCTTGGATTATTTCCCCTCATACCTTCCTCCTTGCCTCCTCCCCTTCTACTCCTTAGCCTGTGCCCTTTCAGCAGTATTTTCTCCTTTCTTTCCCTTTCTTCCTTCCTTTCTTTCTCTCTTTCTTCCTTCC